CACAGTCAACTGCCTTTTGGACTTGTTTCCTACAATTATTAGATGGCATGGTATGCTGAGTGCACTTAATTGTGCTCACAAACCGTTCACGTGGCCTCCGTTCCCCATGTGAGTAAAGTTATATACTTATATACCATCTCTATACATGTATTTGTTTTATTTAAGATCATTTATCGTTTATATTTATATTTAGAGCTGTAATGCACTGCAGAATCTGTCAGACTGATTAGCTGTAGGCTCTAGAACAGTCATCTGAAGCGTTGTCATACAGTGTTATGCTGGATTTTATCAATAGTCTTACATTAACTAATACAGACTATTTCTGAAGTGTTTGGATTTAATTTGCGTTTTACTCCTGTTGAGAAACGTCATAAGAACAATGTTTAGTGGCTCAATGTATTACAGCAGTGTTTTTAAAAGACTAAACACTTTATTGATATAGTGTACAACCAAGCACAAGTGGTCAGAATACAAACGAGTCACAGGTGATAAAATATTAAGCGTTTCTCCCAAAGTAAAGTGTGTCTGAACCAGGTCCAACCTAAATGCAGCATGTGTCTGTAGCTCCGCTCACTCTCCGCCTCTTTACCCTTGTTTGGTATCCCGCCGTCGGCGTGATGACGCGCGAACAAAATGGCGACGGTTGGCCGCGCCTACTTGTGGCTTCTTTTGCGCTCTTTAGAAACCTATGGGTGACGTCACGGATACTACGTCCATATATTTTACAGTCTATGGTCCTGACACGCCCTGAAAGTATTTGCGCCCTGCGTTTTGCATTTTGCGCATGGACCGTCAAAATAGAGCCCAAACAATCCTTCTGGTTCCAGTACTGCTAAAACTGTCATTATCTATGCATGTATCTACTGACTTGCAAATCCCAGAGCTGAGCGGATGTCATTATCAAATTATACGAGTTCATTTGAAAATATCAGTTCATCAGTGAAAGAGTGCTCTGTCATCACTGTGTAATGAGAAAAGATGCTAAAACAACAGTATGCGCTAGAGAGTTTATATTCCAGACTATTCCACTAACATCAAACTGGACGAACATTAACATATTAACCAGAAATAAAATAGTTAAACATTGAAATAAAAATGGTTTACTGCAGTGTTTACTTCTGTCATGACTGCAGGAAATGACTTTCATCTAGCTGTGTTTGTCTAGCGGCAATAGCTTCATTTGTTGTAACTGTGTCAGTAAATTTGCAGTTTCAGTTTTGATGCACGAGGAGTGCAGGATGAAAACATCTCATAGTGTTTATCAAACTAATTAATATTCATGAGCTTGAATAAATTAACTTTTTTGAACTCTTCTCTGTCCATGAGTGCTGCATTTACTTGATTATAAATGCATGCAAAAGCCCTTTCCTCCGGGTGCTCCGGTTTCCCCTACAGTCCAAAGACATGCTGCAGGTGAATTGGGTAAGCTAAATTGTCCGTAGTTTATGAGTATATGAGGGTGACAGGCCCAGACAACAGGCCGGCCGGAATGTGTAAAAAAGTCGTTATCATATGGACAAGTCTTAATGGAGGACTTGTTTCAACCCCGCAACCATGTAGGAATAAGGCCAAAGAAGAAGAAGAAGAAGAAGAGAAGGAATATATACAAAAGCCCATTATTCTAGAATATTATTGGAAATATAAAATTATTTCAAAACATCCCCAGCAGACAGACAACATCATAAGATGGTAATATTAGGTTAGATTTAGGTCACCAGTGTCCAATAATGACGTGAAATGACGGTGATATTTGGTTAATTTTAGGTTGTGCTAGAAAGTCGAGCCAACATCTTAAACCAACATCATATTGATGTCAAATACTGACATTTATTCGTCAGGTATGGCAACCAAAATCCAACGTCATATTGGTAAAGTCCATGTATCCTCAAGCTGTAATGCTGCGTTCACACCAGACGAGGAAGAAGCGTCAAGTGCGAGAGAATTACATGTAAAGTCAATGAAAAGACTTGAATAGACATCTTGTGGCGTGGTACGAGCGAATGATGCGATTCGCGTGAATGAAGCGGCGCAAGTTTAGCGTTTTACTCGATTGACTCGCTTAACGTGCGGAACGCTCGAGTTTGAAAATCTGAACTAAGAAATAATTGTGGACATTCGCGCCATGTTAGGCAATCAGGAGCTTGCTCTTGTGGGGGCGTGATTATGACGTGGCGCCTGTTGTTGGTGTCCCGGGGGAAAATCCACTTGCCAACACCGACAACAGTTCAGCAAACTGGGCTCGGCTCAGTCAGAAGCAACGCTAAATGCTTCCATCATCCAGGTTGAGTTTCTGGAGGAGCTTATGAGCTCACAGAGCTGGGTACATAAACAGTTATTTTCTCAATGAAATCCATATTAGCAACGAAGCTAGAGACACCAGGCAGACAGAAGCCCTGCCTATCATGCAAATTTTAAACTCATAATGTTCACGTGCCTATTTACCTGAGCATTCCGTGTCTGGTGTGAACACAGCATAACATCATTAGACGTTGATATTTGGTTGTTTTTAGGTTGCGTTGAAAAGTAACCAAAAGGCAACATCTGTCTGATGTTGCACATTATTGTCGGCTTGACGTTCTGATGTCAACCCGATTTTCATTTTCAAACAAAATGCAACATCCCCTTATGTTGGGGTACAACGTCAATCTAAAATCATATTGACATCCTGTGCCGGCTGGGTATGATGTTCTTTAAAACTTGATATTCGTATATGGAGTCATATATTAAAAACAAATCTTAGTTTACATTTAGAGTCCTACATTTACTTTAAATAGTAGAAGCAGGGCTTAATTTGTCCCAGAACACGTCGGATCTGGCACCTCTGAAAACTGATCCAGCACCTCATTTTACCGATCCCCCTCCTCCCCCTCTCCATCCATGGGTAACATGCCGGATCTGTTACCCCGATCTGTTCCAGGACCTCATAATTCACAAATTAAGCACTGAGTAGAAGTATATGTATATATATATATATATATATATATATATATATATATATATATATATATATATATATATGTATGTATATATTTGTTGCATTAAATATGTATATATTTATTTATCCTGTACTTTAGAACTCTGTATTATAAGACTGCTTTAGACACTGACCAGGGAGTAATAAAATGAGTTAGACTCTGATCACACCAAACGCGTTTTTGTGTTGAGAGACGCCTTTTTTAAATGGCTTTATAATGCCTGCGTGCATATTGCTGATAAATAAACGGACAGTCGTGTTACATCAGTCAAGTTTCTTTCCTTGTCCAAGCAAATGAAAGCAGAGGCGGGGTTTCCGTTGAGGTGACAGCAGTGTTTTTGTTGTCAAGACGACTACAGAGAATTTTTAAGGTGAAGGAGAGACTTGTAGTCGTTGTTTCAAGTTTTCCGGAACTCTGACTTCACACATCTTGGAAAATACAATATTGTTGTTGTGGGAAAGACATGGTCAGACTGACCGCAATGGCAGGTTGGGAGACTGGCAGCTGAAAAAGTAGGTCAATCTTCTTCCTGGGTTTCGTCACAAGTGTAGTAAGTTTGCTTAGAGTTTGGAGGAAGGCGGCAGGGTCGGCGATACAGGTAACTCAAAAGACTTACTTTAATTATTTCTCAGGTAACATTATGCTGCGTTCACACCAGACGCGGAACGCGCGTCAAGCGCGAGTGATTTACATATTAAGTCAATGCAAACGCACGAATAGACATCCTGCGGCGCGAATGGCGCGGTGCGAATAGCGCGTTACGCGCAAGGCGAATTGAGCGTTTTGCGCGTTTGACGCGCTTAACGAGCGTTTCGCGCAAATCTCTCGAGTTCGAAAATCTGAACTTCAGCGGACATTCGCTCTGCGTTAACCAATCAGAAGCTTGCTCTTGTGGGGGCGTGATTGTGACGTAGAACCAGTTGATGGTGTCCCGGGGGAAATCCTCCAGGCGACACCGACAACAAGTCATCAAACTGGGCTTGGCTCAGTCAGAAGTACCGCTGAAAGCCTCCATGATCTAGGTTCAGTTTCTGGAGGAGTTTATGAGCACACAGAGCTGGATGCACCTCTGAAAGCATGTAGTGGACTCGGTCCTAAACGTATCAACACTGTTTTTTAGCCTTCATAAAGTACATAAACACTGTTATTTTCTTTATAAAATCCATGTTAGCCTTTTAGCAACGAAGCTACAGTCACCGGGAAGACAGAAGCCCTGCCCATCAGGCGAATCCGCGTCTGTTCTGAAGTAAATTTGACACGCGAATGAAGCGGATTTGACGCGCGAATGAAACTCGTAAACTCAAATGTTCACGTGGCTATTTAAACGCGAATAGCGCGATTTATCCGCGCGTTCCGCGTCTGGTGTGAACACAGCATTAGAGCATTCAGTAGCATCTCTCTCCACTGGTCTCTCTTCCATTCTCAGCCTGTCATCTCTTTTTTAAAGTGTCTCTCCAGCAAAATACTGAGAGAAAACAGGTGTTAATCATTACTTTGATTGACCTACTATTTCAGCTGACAGTCTCCTAATCTGCTCTTCGCCGTTGTAGGCAGTCCAACCTTGTCCTCCCCACCACAATTTTTTGTCAACAAAAAAGGCAATGCAGTGCATCCTGCGTTCTCAGAACAAAAAAGCGTATTTTATGTGTATACAACCCCTAAAGGGTGTCTTTCCAAGATTAGAGCTCTCTCTGTTACGGTAACAAGCCAAATATGCATAATCTATACATTCAAATATCTGTAAGTGTGAACTTGTGAAATTACATTAAGGGCGCCTGTCCACCAAAGTGTCCTTATACTGTAGAACTGGCAGATTTTTAACACCTGCTGCGGTTTATAGCATTTTAGAGCACTCTGCATTTTTTAAATGCTTTGACAATTGGAGAAACACTCACAGCTGATTGTTTTAAGAACATCTCTCGCTTTCATCAGGGCAAACAAAAAAACCTTTAATGGACAGCCACCCTTATGGGCAGATTTACCAAAATTGCAAAACTTACAATACGTTCATTATTCCCTCCTCAGGTTGCCAAGATGGCGTTGAACCTTCTGTCCCCCTCTGCTTTTCTCGAGATCGCTCCATCCTCCATCCCAATGGCCCTTCAGAGTCCATCTTTCTACACCTCAACACTACATCCCACAAATCTCTCCAACAATACCAGCGGCAGAGGCAGCATCGTGGACAACAAAGGCGGAGCGATAACTGGTGCTGCAATCCTCAGCCTCGTCTTCCTCCTGGGCGTCCCAGGGAACGTCTTTATCATGTGGAGCATCTTGGCCCGAGCGCGGCGTCGCTCCATCACCACCCTGCTGATCCTGAACCTGGCCTTCGCTGATGGCTTCCTCATGCTGCTCACACCCTTCTTCATGGTGTATCTGGTTCAGCGAAGTTGGGTTTTCAGCCTGGCGCTGTGCAAAGTCCTGTACTACCTCTGCTGCGCCAACATGTATGCCTCCATATTCATGATCATGCTGATGAGTCTGCACCGGCTGGTTGCGATCGTGTGGCCAAAGCGAGTAGGGGCGAAGACAGAGCGGAAGATGCTGACGCGGGTGCTGGTGGGACTCTGGGTTCTCGCTCTGGGACTTTCTGCACCCGTTTTAGCTTTCAGGAACATCCTCAGCGACAGTAAAAAGCCTGAGAAATTCGTGTGCGACTGCATCCATCCTGAAACACAATATGTGAGTCTTTGATTGTTTTAAAATATCTTAAAAATACGCACACAAAAGCACTGAACATTACACATATGCTATAAACACAAGAGCTGTGGAGAATTGTGTTTGAGTAATTCAACAGTGCTCTATTGAAAATTTCACTGATAGGAGAGTAGCAGTGATTAAAGGACAACAAAATAGATCTTAAGCTCCGCCCACTCTCATGAAGCACTGCAGATGACACAAGAAAAAATATTTAGGTATCTGTATACAACCAACCATTGTAAATGAATAGTTCAACGGTTAAATTTGATTTCCACCTGCAATGCTTCATGGGATTGTAGTTCTTTCCTTCAGTAAAGCTGTTTAGTTGGTAGATTTGGATGTTTGTCTTTGAAAGGTTGGTCGAGAACAGCTGAAGCAAAGTGCAGAGTTATTGAGGTAATCTCTGAGGTGTTCTGGATTTTTTTTTTATTAATTTCAGGTAGATTGGGTGGTTTGAATCTTTCTGAAGATCCCACCACAGATAGTGATTTGTGCCAAAAGTATTTGGCAGAGCGCTGCATTCTTTCTTGTTTGTAATTTGTTTGCCAAGCCTTCAGGCAGACATTGCTGCTATAACCGAACCCAGAAAGATGCTTCTCCTGGTATTTTGTTCCAGACTCGAGAACTTCTGCTGCCAAGAATTTTTTTTTGTGCTATAAAAAACTTCAATTTATTAATTGATAACACAATAATGTTAGTCATGTTGTTGAATATCTGCAAGATTGATTAATGCTTTTTGAATAACATCACTTGTGCTCACAGTCATTTAGTGTGACCTATTATGACTCTTTTTACAAGATAAGTATCTGATGTCACTAGAGTGTGTGTGTGTGAAATTTCAGCTCAAAATATTACACAAATAATGCTTTATATCTCTTTGAAACTGCGCTTTTTAGGCCTAGATCCAAATTGTGCCGTTTTGGTGACTGTTGCTTTAAATTCAAATGAGATTGTGCTCTTTTTTTAAAAGAGGGTGGAGCTACAAATGCCTATGTGTCAGCATAGCGGCAGATTCAAAACTGAACTAAATGAACTAATGGACAGACAGCTGCTTCTCACTCAGGCCTGTTTATGCTAATAAGGGAGAGATGAGTCCCTTTCACACATACAGACATTTCCAGAAAATTACTGGCTATTTTCTGGAAAGGCATCATGTGTGAACAGGCCCTTTTTGAAAACACTGGTAAATTAGTTCCGGCACTTTTCCAGAAAGAGAAGTTGGAACATTACTGTTAATTTGCCGGACTGCTGCTCTGTGTGAAAGCAGAAGGAAAATTGCCAGAAAAAACGATTAGAATGCGCTGACATGAGACGTCTACTCCAGTCAATCAGAACATTCAGACGCATCTTACATCTGTGCAGTTTATGAAAAAAAAAGCCTTTGAATATTTTTTTCCAGACATATTTAGCTGCTGGATGTTAGTCAGATAACATTTCTATGTTCCTTCTTAATGCCAACTGTGGAAATAATTATCAATAAAATGCTTATGATAGCTCGCTGTTTGTTTACTTTCAAGCTCTGCTTCAGTTGCTTGATGCATGTGCACGTGAAGCAGTCAGTGAACACCAGCACCAGGGCCGGAGCAAGCTGAACTGCCGCTCTAGGCAGAGGACGATCACGCCGCCCTCAACCCCAATGTGAAAACGAAAGTGACCGGTTATGAAAATGAAGTGAGGTGTCGCGGACCTCTATTCTGCCGCCCTATGCGTGGATATAACTGAGGACGTGCGGCTGCTGAGGGAGGGAGGGAGGGAGGTGTCGCGGATGCCGGCCTCTCTATTCTGCCGCCCTATTCGCGGATATAACTGAGGACGCGCGGGTGTCGCAGACCTCTGTTCTGCCGCACTATGCGCGGATATAACTGAGGACACACGGGTGCTGATGGAGGTGTCGTCTATGCGCAAATATATCTGAGGACGCGGGTGGTGAGGGAGGTGTCACGGATATAACTGAGGATGCGGGTGATGAGGGAGGTGTCACGGACATAACTGAGGACGCAGGTGGTGAGGGAGGTGTCACAGACATAACTGAGGACGCGAGTGGTGAGGGAGGTGTCACGGACATAACTGAGGACGCGAGTGGTGAGGGAGGTGTCACGGACATAACTGAGGACGCGGGTGGTGAGGGAGGTGTCACGGACATAACTGAGGACGCAGGTGGTGAGGGAGGTGTCGTGTATGCCGCCCTCTCTATACTGCCGCCCTAGGCGGCCGCCTAGGTCGCCTCTATGGACGCGCCGGCCCTGGCCAGCACGAACACATATCATGTACCATTAACAAAAACTATACAAGCGCAGCCATTTAGAGGTCATTTTTGGTTAATGATGTCAGAATTTACTGGTATTTTGAAATGGATGTGTGAATAGTCTTCCCGGAAAATTTCCGGAACATTCTTGCTTGTATGAACAGCGCTTTTTTGAAGTTACCAGTAAAGTCATTCCAGTCATTTTCTGGATATTTACCAGTATCGCTGTGTGAAAGGGGCTATGGCCACTAATGGGTGGAGCTTTCCTCTGATGACACGTAAAAAGTGAGAAAGCCAATCAAAGTGTTTCTGCAGACTGTTTTTTCTCAAGTCTGGTTATAAAAAATACAATTAATAAATTTTTACCATTAGAAGCTGGTTATATTCACACACTGCTGACACACAACTGTGTTCAAACCCTTTATAAAAGTTATTTTTGCATCATAGTTCCCCTTTAAAAATATATAGTAAATTAGTGAAATGTTTACTTATAATTAAACAAGTGATTTCTGTGTGAATATGTTTGTAAAACGAAATTCTTGTTGTTGAAAGCTGAATTTTCTTTACATTCGTTACTCCAGTCTTCAATGTCACATGATCATTCTGCAGTTATTCCAACTGGCTGATTGGATGATCAAGAACAAATTTGTTGATTTTCCTTCACCTTAGTCCATTATTTATCAGGGGTCGCCACAGAAGAATGAACCGCCAACTATTATGGCATATGTTTTACGCAGTGGATGCCCTTCCAGTGGCAACCCAGTATTGGAAAACACCTTTACACACACTCATTCACACTCAACAGCCAATTTAGTTCATCAATTCACCCATAGCGAATGTGTTTGAACTGTGGGGGAAACCGGAGCACCCGAAGGAAACTCACGCCAAGACAGGGAGAACATGCAAACTCCACACTGAAATGCCAACTGGCCCAGCCAAGACTCAAACCAGCGACCTCATTGCTGTGAGGTGACAGTGCTAACCACTGAGCCACAATGCCCCCCTCAGCTTTCAACTATGGGAGTTACATTTCACAATATGTTCACATAGAGAACAGTTGTTTGTCATTATACTGATATATAACTACTTTGCCACTTTTTTAGCAATAAATTAATTTATTTGTTGCTCAACATGGCTTTTTTTTTTTTATGCGTGCGTGTTGTTTATCTATAGGAGGTGATGCAGTACTCTATGGAAACGTTGCTGGGCTTCTTGTTGCCGTACGGCGTGATCATTGGAAGTTACACTTGTATCCTGCGCAGAATCCGCAAGACACGCTTTCGTAGACGCATTCGCAGTGAGAAGCTCATCCTGGTGATTGTCGTCACCTTCGGACTCTTCTGGCTACCGTATCACATCATAAACATGGTGCAGGTGTGTATGACCAAATGTCCCTACAAGTATAGCAATAACAGAACATCTGGGGAGCTCATAAACCACACAGAATAAAGTATTTTAAAATGTGAGGGGTAGGGTAGGGGGAGAGTTTACAGTGTGTACAGGATAAAATTCTTTTCGCTTATAGGAAGTCCCTGTAAAGATAGCTGTACAAGTGTGTGTGTACATCTTCAATTGAAGGTGCCCTAATGGTGTGTTTCCCACACAGGTGACTGCCGCTTTACTCCCAGAAGGATCTGCAGCAAAACACAGGTGAGCAACGTAAGGACACGACAGTGGAACATTTAACTGGGAAACACCCAAACACTCTTGCACTCATACACTACAATTTTGTTTACCCAATTCACTTATACCGCATATTTTTGGACTGTGGGCATGTCTTTGAGGGACTCTAACAACACTGACCACTATGTATGTTGACTCAACTATAACTAGTTAAGAAAGCCTCAATAAAAAGGAAAAATATTCTGGAAACAAAGACTGATAAGGGTAGCCAGAACAGAGAAAACAATGTCTCTCATAGAGGTTTTGCATAGCTTGTCAGTGTACTATGAGTAGTAAATTCTGCACCATCTGAAAGCACATGCGAAAGATTTACTACAGGGGTGTCCAAATACGGCCCGCAATCAGTTTTGTGGCGGCCCACGAGGCTTTTTATAATTTCAATACAATCTGGCCCGCTATGCAAAAACGAACGTAATTCAATAAATAACCACCGGGTGTCGCTATCACATGCATTCAATTAAGCAGCAGTTCTTGTTAGGATCTATCTATCTATCTATCTATCTATCTATCTATCTATCTATCTATCTATCTATCTATCTATCTATCTATCTATCTATCTATCTATCTATCTATCAGTCTGTCTGTCTGTCTGTCTGTCTGTCTGTCTATCTATCTATCTACACACAGTTGAAGTCAGAAGTATTAGCCCCTCTTTGATTTATTTCTTCTTTATTGAATATTTCCCAAATGATGTTTAACAGAGCAAGGACATTTTAACAGTATGTCTGATAATATTTTTTCTTCTGGAGAAAGACTTATTTGTTTTATTTCGGCTAGAATAAAAGCCGTTTTTATTTTTTTATGAACCCTTTTAAGGTCAAAATTATTAGGTCCTTAAGTCTTCAGAACAAACCATTGTTATAAAATAACTTGCCTAATTACCTTAACTTGACTAGTTAACCTAATTAACCTAGTTAAGCCTTTAAATGTCACTTTTTTTTTTTTTTTTTTTTTTTTATTAGAATATGCAAAAATCATACAAATACAAGAAAACGTCAACAAATAACAAATACAAAGCAACGAAACAAAAACAAAACAAAAACAACAACAATATAGTCATGTACTGGTATGTGCGTGAGTGTGTGTGTGTGTGAGTGTGTGTATGCATGTAAAGGTAACTTGGTGGACAGGTCAGAGTACATACATAAGGAACAATAACAGTCAATAAATGAAGCAAGTGTCACAGATATAGACAAAACATATAGAAAGAAACCAGTCAGAGGTAGGGAGTAACAACAATGCTTATTAATGTATGATAGTAAAAATTAGAGTAAAAAGAAAGAAAGGACAACAGTAATAACTGACAACAATAATAATAAATCACAAGTGCTACACAAACTACTACTACAAAAAGTTACTTATATTACAACTACTACTGCTTCTACTACAGCCACAACCACGACTACTACAATGTCTACTAATACTGATACTACTACAACGACTACCACTACTGATACTACTATAGCGTTTGCTACAACTAATACAACGTCTACTACTACTACTACTACTACTACTACTACAATCACTTCTACTACATCTACATCAACAACATCTACTACTGATATTACTACACCAACAACGACTACTACTACTACTGTAACTACCACACCATTACTACTTCTGCTACTACTTACATGAACTACTACTTCAAAAATCTCCGTAACAATTACTCAATAACAATCGATACTATTACACTGTCTACTACTTCAACTACAACTACTACTACTACTACTACTACAACAACTGCAACCTTAATAATGATAATGGTATAAATACTTGTAATAATGATAATGGAAAGATAACAGGACAAGTCAGAACAGTAATAATAATAATAATAATAATTTCAAAAAATAAAAGTAATACCATTTATGACAAAGGTGTCGAGGAGAGGGGAGGATGGGAAAATCAGGGAGAGGACAAGTAATAATAATAATAAATAATAATAATAATAATAATAACAAATAATAATAGTAGTAAGTAGTAAGTTTGAAGGGGAGATAGAGGAAAAGAGAAAATAAACTAATGATAATAAACAAAAATTAATAAAACACTTATAATAAAAATAAATAAATAAAATAGAATAAAAAATAAAAACAGAAAAGGAAGGGGAGGAGTAGAAGAAAAAAGAAACAATAAGAGAGAAGAAAAATAAAGTTCAGCAAACAAAGCAACAAGAATAAGCCAAAAAAAAAAAAAAAAAGAATAATAATAATAAAAACTGAATAAATAAAAAAGAAAACACTATATCAATGCTAATTATGAATTATACAATTCCACATGGAAGGATAATATTAAAGATATGTATGATAGATTATTACTGTAATTTGATAACTATAATATACTCATGCTGGTAATAATACTAATAATAATGATAATAATAAAAATAACAACAGCTGTAACAATAAATTGAGGAGGTTGTAGTTGTGTGATGGGCATTGAGGTATATAGTGTTTGTCAGTTGCTTTGTGATGCATTAAAAAAAGTGTAACGTGTGGCATGGATCAGTCCAGTGCAGTGCCCAGACTGCCATGCCTACGTTACACTTTACCCTGTGAATTTAGTACATGTAAGTAGATTTTTTTTCTTTCCTTTTTTTTCCCTCTCTCTTTTTTTTCCTCCTCTTCTCTTTCTTTCTTTTTTTTTTTTTTTTTTCTTTTCTTTTTTTTTTTTTTATCTGTTGTTGGTCAGGAGAGCCACTGGTATATAAATAATAATAATAATAATAATAATAATAATAATTTATGTATAGTAATAATAATAATAATAATAAATAGAAAACAAATATTATATATAATAAAAATGAATAAATAACATTGATAGGGACAGGAAAGGGGAACAAATAGAACAAAAGGGAAAGTAAAAAAGTATATAAAGACCGAATTATGATTCTTTTATTTTATTTGTTTACATTATACTTTTTTTCCAATTGATTTATTTATTTTAAATTAGATTAAATATTAGATTTTTTTTTTTTTTTTTTTTCCTCATCTCTACCTGACCCCCTCTCTCCCCTCCCCTCTTGTTTATGTACTGATGAAGGTGTTGTTAGGGAATGGCTTCAGGCAAAGAGGATCTTCAATGGAGATGTATTCTGTTAACAAGTTTTTCCAGTATGAGATGTGAATGGTATTTCTTGATTTCCAGTTCATGAGGATAGTTTTCTTTGCGATAGTTAGAGCCACCAGCAGAAACTGACCATTTGTATTATTTATATTGATTGTGGATATGTCACCTAATATGCAGAGGGAGGGACACAGTGGGATGTGACAACCCATTAAGTTGGAGAGTGAGTCAGTAACCTTTACCCAAAATGATTTAATTGAAGTGCAATGCCATAAGGCATGAAGATATGTGTCTGGAGTGTTTTGTGTGCAATGTGAACATATTTCTGACGTGAAACCCATTTTAAATAATTTCTGCCCAGTTAAATGTGATCTGTGAAGTACTTTGTACTGTATAAGTTGTAAGTTAGCATTTTTAGTCATGGAAAATGTGTTTTTGCAAATTTGAGTCCAGAATGCAGCATTGGGATTAATAGATAAGTCTGTTTGCCATTTAGTGGTTGGTAGAACTAATGCATTGTCTGATTTTGATATCATTTTGTATATTTGGGAGAGCAATTTTTTGGAGGGCGATATATTAATAAACTCTGAGATTTGAGGTGGAAGGTCTAGATTGATTGATTGGTTAGGTAATTTTGACTTAACTGATGATTTGATTTGTAAATATTCCAAAAAGCAATTACTCCCAATGCTGTATGTCTGGGCTATATGGGGAAATGGTGCCAGATTATTATTAATAAAGATATGTTGAAGTTGTGTGATTCCTTTGGCTGCCCATGTGTGAAAGTTAAGTGGCTTCTTGTTGGCTAGGAAATCAAGGTTATTCCAAATTGGGGTGTATTTAGATGGTGTGAGTGGGGAATTTGTGACCTGATGGAATTTCCACCAGGCTGTCAGAGTTGCTTCTATTGTCGGCATTTTAAAACAGTGATGTCTCTTGATTGATTGACTGTGAAAGGGTAATTCTGAAATGTTAATGTCTTTGCATATTGATTGTTCAATGTCTTGCCATGTGTATTCTGATGAGTTAGGTTTAATCCAATTGTGTATGTTTTGAAGCTGATTTGCCAAAAAATAGTTGTAAAAATGTGGTGCTTCTAATCCTCCTTGTGATTTTGGTCTCTGTAGGGTTGTCAATTTTATTCTTGGGGTTTTATTTTTCCAGTAGAATTTTGTTATAATTGAGTCTAGGGATTTGAACCAGGTATGTGTGGGTTGTGTTGGAATCATTGAAAATAAATAGTTTATTTTTGGGAGAATGGACATTTTGGTAACTGATATTCTGCCCATGATGGATAGTGGTAAGTTCATCCAGCGTTGCAGATCGTCATCTATTTTTTTAAGTATCGGAGTATAGTTAAGTGCAAACAACTCTGACAGCCTGGCGGAAACATTGATACCCAAATATGTGATATAGTTAGTGCACAGAGGGATTTGTGATGTTTGGGATGTCACATCCACACTGGTGGAATTTAATGGGAGTATAGCAGATTTATTCCAATTGATTGAATATTCCGAAATATTTGAAAAGGTATCAATAAGTTTTATTGTTTCCTGTAATGATGTTTGGGGATTTTGTAAGTATAATAATATGTCATCCGCGTAAAGACTTATTTTATGGTGTATGTTTAATGTTTGAATTCCTTTAATATAAATGTTTTGACGAATGGCTGCTGCAAGTGGTTCAATGAATATGGTGAATAAAGAGGGAGAGAGTGGACATCCTTGTCTAGTTCCCCGGTGTAGAGTGAAGCTGCGTGATGTTAGTCCGTTAGTAATGACAGTAGCTGAGGGTGATGTGTAGAGAATTTTGATCCAATTAATAAATGACTCCCCAAAACCAAACCTCTCTAATGTGGAAAACAGGAATTTCCAGTTTACTTTATCGAAAGCCTTTTCAGCGTC